TGTTATAAGTAATGGTTATTCTAATTATATTTTAGATTTTTTATATTTAAAATAAAATGTATATCTCGTATTTGATTATGTTTATTTATAGTTAATTACACAAATTCAAAAATGAAGCTTTAATAAGTTACACTTACACATAATTTACTTGTGATTTTGAATTTTAMGTAATATGAATTAATAAACAATATTTTATACATAAAAATTGTTTTTTAAAGATTTTTGTCAAATACTTTATAATATAGATTAAAAGACAGACTTTTTTTCTCAAGAAAAATTCGGTTCTTAACAATTTAAAAGTTAATTTTAAGGTAGCGTTTGGTACGCAGACATAAATGGACAGGACTGAACATGACAGAACTAGACATGACAGGACATGACAGGACATGACAAGAGGGTAGGACTGAACAAGACTGAACATAACATGAGTATGTCTAGTGTTTGGTACGACTAGGACTGGACGGGACAGAACTAGACAAACTACTCTCAAAAGTTATTTGATGATTTTAAATATTATATAATAGTTATAATTAACACAAATAAAGTAAATAATTAAATAATAAATATTTGTACATAATTTTCATATTTGTACTAAATTTAAATGAAAATTTGATATAATTGATGGTAGTAGTGATGGGTGGTGGAGGTGGAGGTGGTGGTGGCCGACGGTAGTAATGGCAATGGGCGGTGGTGGTCGTTGGCCGACAGTGGTTATGGAGGTAGAGGCAGTGGTGCTTGGTGGACGACGGTGGTTATAGAAGACATGAAGATGGTAGATTGTGGTGGTGGTGGCGGTTGACAACGGTGGAGGAGGTAGTTGTGGTTGATATAGTGAAGATAGTGGTGGTGGTGGTTATGGTGGAGGTGAGGTGGCAATGAATGGTGGTCGTGAAGAAGGTTGTTGCAGTAGAGGAGAAGTTGAAGGTGGCGAACGGTGGTAGTGGTGGTGGCAATGGATGGTGGTCGACTATGGTAAAGGTGGCAATGGACTTGGTGGACAGTGGTTGTGGAGGCGGTGGAGGATGTTGTTGTAGTGGAAGAGGAGGCGGAGGTGGCCGTCGGTGACCAACGGTAGTGGTGGCGGCGGTCGAAACTAGCGGTGACGACCACTAAAACAAATATCATATTAATGTTATATATCAAACTAGGGTATATTAGTAATATTTTAGTTTCTGTCTTATTGTTGTTACATCTATTTTGGTGGAACAAGAAAAACCTCTTTTGTCCCATATTATCTCACCTTGTCCCTGTCCCTGTCCCATGTCATACCAAATGTGAAACAATAAGTTATTGTTCTATCTCATGTTGCGTCAAACATAAGACAGTGGGTTCTGTTCCATCTCATGTACCAAACCCAACCTAATAAAACTATGAAAAGATAAAAGGAAGAAGCTACGCACGTTTTGATGCYATGGAGCTGTTCAACTTTCAACAACTGGAATGGCAATTTAGTAAATAAATTGAAAATGGTAGGCAATCATATAAGAGGCAGTAATATTTAATTAGATCTGACAGCCTGCCAGCGCGTTTGCTTTGTCATTGTTAAACACGATACCTGTTAACTAGTTTTTCTCAAGTTTTCCTTCAAACAACAATGGCGATTTCCACTAATATTCTTCTTCTTCTTCTTCACCTGTTTATGATCTCCGCCTTCATTCTTCTGCCGGCTGCTGTCAGCGGAGGCGAGTTTAGCTGGTTGTCGAARCAGGGAGGAGAGTGCAGCGGATCGATTGCGGAGTGTATGGGAGGAGGAGAGTTGGAGATGGAATCGGAGAGCACCAGGCGTATACTAGCAACAACGAACTACATAAGCTATGGAGCGCTGCAAGGAAACAATGTGCCGTGCTCACAGAGAGGTGCGTCGTACTATAACTGTCGATCCGGTGGYCAGGCTAATCCCTACCAGCGTGGTTGCAGTACCATTACTCGTTGCCGACGTTGATTTTCCCTCTTTTTCTTCTTCTCTGCTTACTCCTGACTTGATTGTCATGTATAATTGAGGATTATATTATTAATATTTGTTTGAGAGTAAAGCAATTTCCGGTTGATGTTATTTTTGAACGTGTTTATATTTCAAACTCAAGAGTGTGTTTCTTCTGTAATTCTTCATATTTGCTTTCTGATTTTTTTTTATTTTCGGTGTCATGATGATGTTGATTTGAAATGCATAATTTGTTGAATGTACAGTTTCTTTTTCCCGGTAAATTTGAAATTTAATTCGTATTCCAAAATTGAAGAAGGGGATATTCATGATSGATCACCTTTTCCTAGAGATATCATTATTTTAAATTTGGTATAAGTGATATCCAAAAAGCTGGATTTTCATCTCTGTTTTCTCTTTCCTGTCGCTGGATCTCACCTAACGTTACCTCTAAAATGTTAATAATGAATAGTCAAAAACATTTTTAAATAAATAGAGAATAGAAAACACATGGGTGTATGTATATACAACAATAGAGAGTCAAAGTCATTTCTCCATTTGTGTCGGTAAATCCCATTCTCTTAAGAAATTAAGGGTTYCAAGCTTATAAAAACTATTAATAATAAAATATTTGTCATATATAAATATTATATTAATAATAATATTTTAAAACATATATTCTACACTATCAAATCCTATTTTTGTTCAATCATTATATTATTGTATTTTGACGGATTCAAACCAAATTTGCATTTTTGGTCGATCAACACAGTTTGTGGTGCTCTACTTCCTAGGTCATATTTCATACCTCTCTTTCATTACAACAATACATTACTTGATTTTCAATACTTTCTTCCATTGGTCAAGACTTGGGTAAATAATTGTCTACCCATGACCCCAAATTGACCCTACCCAAAATCCTATACAGGTCACATCTCATACCCTTCTTTCATTACAATCATATATTAACTGCCCCTAAATCTCATGAAAATATAGGAATTGGAGGTTAACAAAAGTTTCTTATATAATATTTATTTGAAGATGTATATATATATATGAATAATCTCTTACATCAATTCACATATGCATCATCAATTCTTTTTTAGATTTTTTCAGCATTTGAATCATTTCCTCTTACAATGTTCGACTTTATTATTCAAATGGACTCTTAAAAGCCAAACAAAACAAAAAAAGTAAAAAACGTTATCAAAGTTAGATTGTGTTTTCTTCTTTTTCTTCTTTCTTTTCAAATTACATGGTTTACCCTCTTATAGATGTAGTCGATTAAGGAGTTTTAAAATTTCAATATTTATTATTTTAAACCCACATTTTTAAGTTTAATAAATTACGTTGGCATGTTGGATAACTTTATTGTATAAATTATTAGCATAGCTTCTTTTTCTTTTGATTAAAAAAATACCAAGTTCKTTAGGTGGTATTATCTTTAAATTTATATTTTTTTTTCTCAAAAATAATTATATATTTACTAAAACAAGATAAAAAAAAATTCATTCTCGTAAATCATTAAAGCCGGCCCCACGCTTATTATGTTGTTTATGATTCCATTTAAAAATTCATTCTCATAAACCATTAGGATTTGTTTGTTTGATTTTAATAAATTTAAAAATCTATTTATTTTTTTAAAGAAGTTAAGGACTTAACCAATCACTTAAAATATAAGGTATGGTAGTTTTATTTTTTTATGTATSAACTTTTTCCTTTCTCAAAAATTGATCCTGACCTTTAACCTACTACCATTTTAAATACTARATTGAAATACCACGAACCTACTACCATTTAAGTTCGACTCTTATAAGATCTTAACTTTATTCAACAATTTCTTGAAACATACGTCTTGTAAGTTAGAGGTATYGACAGAAATGATTGCTTTACTTTGGCAGGGTTGATAATGGACACTTGCRGATGATATATATTGAACCCGTTTTATTTAGTTTGGTCTTACAATTACTTGAAATGGTTATATATTTTTGGATGTTTAGATCCGGATAGACCATGATCATCAATTTACTATGCACCCTAATACGATACATATTATCACTGAAGCATTTGGTTGAACGGTTGATGTTAGTTACCAAACATTCATGTGCAATATGTAGTWAATCCCAAATTGCTGCCCATATCATGTGAATTGGTTACCTCTCATGGGTAGACATGCATGTGTTGTTTAACCTTCATTAATTTCCAAGACGTTGATGGCTTTYGGTTTCCACTAAATGATCATCAATACAAGAAAAAGTTACCCTATGATTAGTATTCAACWTCGTCCTACTCTTAGGACAACGACATAAAGGGAAACGAGGGGGTTTTTTCTATGGTTGTTTTATGTCTTCCTATTTTTGGGAGAAATGAGATAGAGCAAAAAACTGAATGAATTAATAAGAAAAAYCAAATGTATTATTGATTTTCTTTAGGAGATGCGGTTTGATTATGACATATACAACGATTATAACAGTCAGCACATAAAAAGAAAGACAGGAATTATTTATTTTCTAATTTTTACTATTGTAATGAAATTGTCYATCTTCAATGTATTTATAGTAACTACAAAATTCAGATAAGAGTTCTAACAAGTTTCATAAATGTAGGCAAGTTACCAACCGCATTCAATTTTTTTCATTACCTCCAATGACATTGTGTGCATTTGATTCTTAATTATGCTAAGGTTTGTTGGGACACATAATCATGTATYCAGAAATTTAGGTGATTGAGGCACACCTAATGGTGTAAAAAGTTCCAATATCGAATGACTCATCCGAATCAAAACCATATAAAATTTACCCCTAAGTTTGAACGTTTCATATACAAAACAACACTGAATAAGCATTTCATTTTCACACATGGATATTGGTATAAATTATTAGGTTTGTAAAAAAAAAAAGTGGTTTTGTAGATGTTGAACTAGACATATCCAATATATTCTATTCAAAAAGAAAAAAAGTAAGGTTCGGGAGCACACAGACTTTTACCCTACCTTGAGAGTAGAAAAATTGTTTCCATAAAGACTTCAGGTTGCAAGTAACTTTAAAAAATGTCGTAAATATCTTTGAAGTTTGGGAGGATTTTGGGAATAGAAGGTTCTCTCTTTTCTTTTATTTTCTTTTCTTTTGTGCAGCCTCTTTAACATTTTTGGCACAAGTAATCCAGTATATTTTTTGACCAACAAAGATGACCCATAAAGAAAAGCCAAGGAACAACTCTCAGCTGTTCTCAGGGCTCAAAACTTGGAATCTGAACAATATTTTGCTTTAAAAAAGATTCCATTAGTTTCTTTAAGAACAAAGGTATCACCTTTTCTTTTCCTTAGGTAGGAGGCTTGTATCTTAGTGATTAAGAAAATTTGAGCTGTAAATATAACTAAAGGATTAGACTACGAGTCACAAATCGGTAACTGAAAATAAAAATGAGAATCAAGTACCTTTTTTCATGAACTTCAAAATAAATAGGCATCAAGACAAAGAGGCCCATGATCGGCACCAGCTGCAGCCTGCATGGACTAAATTTGGCACCACTTAACTTAACACAATAAACATGCTACCATGGCAAATTAACCCAGGTACRCTTTTAAGTATCATTATGTATTTATGTATGATGATAACTCCAAATAATGAAAAGGGGTATTCATGTTCAAACATCCTAAACCAGCAGCATAACAAGAATACCAAAAATAACATAGATATTATCACCATTTTTAAATTTCTAATCTGGTATGTGATAATGAAAACAAAAGTTACGCACAAAACCGGATCTCATTTGTCTAGGGAGGGGTATTTGATCTGGAAAGTGCTATGCAGAACCTTCATAAGTTTTTTTTTTTTGGATAATGGGAACCGAACCCCTTGGAAAWTTTTATTCAACCTTCATCAGGCTTCTTCGATGGTGCCGCAGGAGGTGGAGAGCCCTCAGCTCCCATCTCTGCTCTAAGGTCGTTGATGCTCTGCTCCAACTCACTTATCCTTTCTCCCATCTCATCGAGTGCATTGCTGTTAAGGTAAAAACCGACACATAGACACAGAATTCATATTTTGAATTTTATGGGACCCAAAAGAAATTATTACAAGTCTTACAGATACTGAGGTTTCTATAATACTGTTAAAGCATGAATAGGAGGGACCTTTTAAGTCAATGAGGAACTCACATATGACCCACTCATTAAAATCAAATATTGGGATACAGTTATGTAAAAAGGATATTCTTTGAAACAATCGAGTCTGACATCGTTTGGAATCTGTTTTGCTGCAACGACAACACCAATCAGTACAAAGTAAAGGTATACTTGTACCAAACATAGAACCACACTACAATTGAAGGCTTACCATCTGCTGGAGGAGGGTTTGAACCTGCCAAAATAAAGGTATTGCTATTAGTGTAAAGGTGGAGCATTTGCAATCTACCAGTTATAAGTCAGAGATGGAATTCCTTCGACTATATGGTTCTGGACCAAATAACCGTTGAAAAACAACTTGGGTGATTTGCAGATATAAATCATGCAATAATCAATCAGTATCAAACATGAAGATTCAGGTACATTATGTCAAAGAAAATTCTCCTAGATGTGAAGGAAAAGACATAATAGAGGCCATATGTAAGCTTTAATGGTTCTATAACCAGTAATTGCATATTGTAATAACATGTCAGACTCGAAGTTTAACCTTGCAAAATAGAAATAAAGATTGATGGTCCAAAGAACTTACAAACTGTGTCATGTCAGCAGTATTTTGCTTGCCATCATCTTTTCCATCCTGCAAACAAAAGCAATTCAATCCTGTCTATGGTGAGAAAGGTTTCAAGGCCAGATGTGCAGAGCAAAATATATGTGATTCACAGCCAACCACAAATATCAAACTTGTTAGAAGTACTCACTATCACCAAAATGTATTCCTTATAAGTAGGGTTTCTTTAGATACTTGATACACTTCCCAGGGGTGAAGCAAGGATGTAAAGCAAATAAAGATATTCCTAGAGGGTCACAAGATAATGGCAGGCCACATWAAAAACTTGATTGGATCAGCAAGCAAATACTGTACAGCTCTAAGCTACAGAAAACGAGGAGTGCTAACAATCTAACATGAGAATGGGTTGAGATTTCACGGCCTGTATCAATTATCATSATGACATATTTTGTTAAGGTACAAGCCTACAACAAAACATAGTTGRGAGATTCAGAAACGAGGAAAAGCGCCTATTCCAGTATAGATCTGTAATTTCTGAAATCAATCATGTAGGAAATGGACAATATTTTCACACATCAACTCAATGATCTGAGACGCATATATCAGAAACAATTATTATTATTAATGACGATGAATACGACATTCTACTGGGCAATGTTGAGATTGAAATGAAAATATTCATAGAAATTTGAATTGTTACGAACAGGTTTCCTGATTTCAGATAGCCTTATTAATGTTGCATTGATGGATCACAAGACATGAAAGAAACATAAGAGATTGGATCGTGGAGAATGATGAAGGAGGATGTGCATACCATTTTTGAATGTGAATCGATTCACAGCTCTGTGGCTCCTCGCCCTCGTTGGGAGGTTTCTGCAATTACGTTCCCTTTGAAGTTTGATGGTCTCAAATTACCACTTTGCCACACGATTTATACAAAATTACAAATTCAAAAGCCTATATCTATAACCGAAACTTTTTGACCAAATTGTTTTTACTTTTACTCCAATATCTAATCAATTGTTATATTTATATTTATATTTATATTTATATTTATATTTATATTTATATGTGGAGTATCAAACCCACCACCCTAACTAAATAAATAAGAAAATACAGAAATAATTTAAATTTTACACACATTCATGATCACATGTGATTTTAGTATAAAATCTTATTTGATTCGATATTTTTTTTATTCTCTAATTAATTATCGTTCTGTCTTGCATTACATGTCTAGAGAAAGTCATTAGATTTAAAAAAAAAAAAACCCATATAATATTGAAAGTAAAACGTTATTTTAAAGTTTAAACCTAAAGGCATCCATCCGATTGTTATTTATCCTTTTTATACRAAGTTCAAAATTGGACATCAGTTGACACAACGACAACATTTAAATCAAAATTTCTATGTTTTTTCTTTTAATAAACATAAATTTATGATAATTACCAATCTGACATATTTTTACTGTTTTTCCCAAAAAAAAAAAAAAACATATTCCTTTATACAAAGCAAAGCAAACCAAAAAAATAAATTATGATGCGAGTGTTGTAAATAATTGGGTGTCAAGACCCATAATATAAAGTAAGAATACATTTCCAAATACAAGCAAGTATGTTTCGTTTGGTACAATAATTAATGACAAGTTATCATGTTACATTCTAATTTTTAATTATGTGAAAAATGTAACTAAAAACCCGTTGATCAGGTAAGGTACAATGTGCAAACAATTGAATTAAGCGACTGTTACACTCTCACTAGATAGGAACTAAAGCAAATCTCCTCACATTTTAACAATAACATAAACAAAGAAATAGGCAATCATTAACAAGATGAATGTTTGGTGTTTCATTTGGCCTTTTTTCCGACCTGTGCTGCGTCCTTTTCGTATGGATATTCGGGGGGAGCCATCCACAGACCCCACAAGATGATTATATGTAACCAAAGAAGCAGAATGGAGGAGTACAAGTTAGAAGGGAAAACATTCCAACAAAACTCCACCCCTGCAAACAACAATAGCCTGCATCACCATGACACAAAACAACTCCCAGTTACCTCTATATATAGACCAAGAGGAAAGCTCGAACAACCATAAATGTTGTGAGAACCAGAGAGCCACTATTATTTATGATAATAATCATCATGTATTCTCATTATAAATAATTTTCATCATGTATTTTCATCATGAATAATTGCTTCTCAGATTTTCAAAATATTTACGGTTGAACATGTCTCTAAAGACCCAACCAGAGTATGATCAGCAAACTTGATGGTTAACTGACTCACCGGAGTATGGTTGGAAAAGGGGTTCTCCATAAAAGATATGGTAAGCWACAGAAATACCTGCAAATAAAATCGTCCATTGTAACATTCTAGTTGCCAACGAATGGTGCATTTGCGATTTTTGGGTACAAAGTCATGAAACGCGAATCACTTAAAGAAAGGGGATTCAAATTTGACTTTGAGGTTGACCTATCAAGTTCTCGAGTCAAATTATTCTGTACGTGTGACATGACTTTCCTATCTGCAGTGTTGTCTTACATCGGGTGTAGACATGGACCTTTAAGCTTGTACATATGTAGGAACATACCCTATAAGGGTTTTTAGACAGATTCAAAAAGATTCCGCATATCATGGTATCAGAGCCAAGGTCCAACACCAACTAGGGTCTTAACATGCTCTTTTGCCTCCGTTCTTGGGGAAATCGCCTAGCCTCTAATTGAGGAGGCTTGTTGGAGTCCAACATTGGCTAAACACGGACCATCATGTCTAYATGTAGAAACCTCCCATCTCTATGCAAGGGCTTTTTAGAGAGATTTAAAGGGGTTCCATACATCCTAACATGCAACAAGCATTATAACGTTTAAAGTGAGCAACAAAATTACRTGTACTATGTTGTATTCTATTTGCATGTCGATACAAAAAGAGACTTACCAGGAGTAGAACTGATAGTGCAAAGACCGAGCACATACAATGCCAATAAAATTGCCGGTAAACATGGTTGTAACAATATCTGTGTAATACATTAACGATCATCATTAGCCAACTTTCACCAAACCAAGAAATATGGTACAAAGTCAAAAAAAGGTGCACTTACRCTCTTTTTTAAGCTTTAGTCCGGAGAGAGAATTGTAACTTCTATTAAGAGGCAAGGAACTCGTAATGCCGGTTTTGAGCTGCATTTTAAGAAATCTAGAATGCAAGAAAGAGAATAACCCTCCTTCGTGTCTGTAAAGAGTAACACAACAATTTTAAAAGGTTAGTTAAAACCAAACAAAACATACCYAATGTATCCCACTCGAAAGTAGGATCTGAGAGGGAAAGTATGTAGGCAGACCTTTCCTCTACCTTAAGAGGTAGAAAGGCTGTTCCATGAAGACCCCCCACTTGCGAAAAGTTAAATAGAGATGAGAATTGTCAAAAAGATGTTTGAAGGTTGAGAGGATTTTGAAAGAACATGGAGAGCAAAAAGSCATTGCTCCCTTATAAGATTAAAGGCTACATAAAAGGAAATTTTTATCTCATGCAGCTGAATTGAATAAGATCTCATACTTACTTGCACCACCTATAATGCACAAAAATCGTAAGAAGACCGAGATGAGCAACTAGTAAGATGAGAGCGAACTCCTTTGACACAAAAATTGGTTCAGGGACAAATTTGAAGTTGACGGACCTAATAAAATAGAAACAGATGCTATAGTTTAGTAATGCAGCATTGAGGAACAATGAAAAATGAGAAGAAATATATCCCACGCAATAGTATATTCATTTTTCTCACAGAAGTAGAGAAAAAGACAAMTTTTATTTAGCAGAATTATGTTTTCTAAGTCAGCCCCATGAGTGCCTCAAGAGATCATATATCGCTTAATTTTCCCTGCGATGGTAACTTTCCCATCTGCCCTTTTCTTTTACATTTCAATTTTTTTAACTGATATATCTACCAAGTATTTATGAAATAACATATTTAAATAAATGAGTATTAAAATATAAAAATTCAGATTGGTTGCAAATTTATGGGCTTAGAAGGTTACCAGAAGTGGATAAAGACACGTCCAAGATTGAAGGCTCTAGATACATATGCAATTGGATATGACAACAGAAACGGTAAGCCCAAGAGAATCTGCGGATGAACACCRAAACTAAGTCAACGTGTGGTTGCAATCTAATTTATTGGTCAAAATAAAGTTTTTATTGCGAATAGAGTTGATTATATACTAAATTGATATATCAATTGAAGTGCTAAGATCTCCAACAATTTTCCTTCCATATGAATTACCAACGCRGTAGGCAAGAATAAGCACCTGAACTAATGCTGCACCTGCTAAAGCTGATATCACCCCAATAATGTCCATAYCCTGTATTAAAAGTGATACACTGAAACAGATAAATGGTAGCTTGAGTAAATGACTAAATGTATGTATGGTTCAGACACAAACTTCAATTATACTAAGCAGAATAGCTTAGTGAACCTTAAGCATGAGAAGGAACAAAGGTGGAGCATAAAGAAGCACATTCATCTTCACTGAAACAGCTGCACTGCAAAACGAAAAGCAAAGCCAGGTTGAACGCATATTAAGTTATGTTGATTCCAATAAAGATCATTTAACATTTTGTTGGATGGTTAAAAAATAAGAATTATACAATCAGATATAGCACGCCACCTGAAAATAATCAAACTCAGATGCCATTTCTGATAAAGGAGTGGAATCAAAGARGCATGAAGAAGAGTCATAGCAAAACAGTCATTGAACAGACGAAGCACAAAGATTGAATGCAATCTTTTAGATAAAGAAAGCAAAGTGAGAGCCCACCAAGGTAGCTGCATAGAAGACAAATCAAAAAAATCTAAGTAACATTTGAGGATGGCAAAGACTAAGAAGCACTTTGCAAATGAACAGAAATCATACCACATCAGTCTTCACATAAATGAATAGCATTATTCCAAGATTCACAATGTAGAGAAAGCCAAATAGAACCTGATTTAATGAATATTTAGTTAGATCTTGAATTTATATGAAACCATGCCTTCAATTTCTGAAAACCAAACCAAACCAAACCAAACAGACCCATGTAAGAGTGAATGGTTTTCACCCCCACCAAGAAAGGATACAAAGCTATATGATAGCACCCAATTTTTCCGATWTGGAGATTGGCCCTCGAGTGCAAAGGCAGAAGGGAATATTAGTACCAAATGCAAGTGAGAATTCACCTGGGCAGGATAGACCTGGCCTGCTGTAACAAATTGTATGGCAGAGTATATATAAAGAAATCCAGCAGGGTAAACCAAAGGTCCTGTGTCCCCTTTCAGATTGCTGTAATCTCTTTCTCCTTCCATAAATCCATTAACCTGTTTGGTCACATACCATTTYCCAAGTAAAACCAGAATTATACCCCCCATAAAAAAAATTGCAACTTGAATTTTGATGTCAAATCATTTTATTTCCAAATGCAAAATGATATAGACTTCATTCAAATGTAATCATCAACATTAATCTACTCGCATCACTTGGCATAAAACGTAAATCTTGATATTTTCATAAATAATATAGAATGTATCTGAATTTTGAAGTTAGAATGGTATCCAAATCAAGTGCAGCTTCTTTGTGAACAACAAAGGGGGTTCCAAAGGAAAAGGCTAAAATTGACTCCTCACCTGTGACATGTAAGCATCCCAATCAATCTTTGTATCTAAAATTCATGACAATGGAAGTGTTACAAATAGAAAATCGTATGTAGTTACCAAATTTGAACGAGTTTTTGATAAGAGTACTTACAAGGAACATAAGCGATGATGAGGGSGGTAAGGACGGCATCGGCGATAAACACAGCCAAAGCAAAGAGTGTTTTGGGATTGTGGTAGAGCTTTTGGATAAGAGTATCTGATCTTGTCTTTGGAGGTTTACGTTTGGGTAGAGAGGCGATCGCCATGGATTGACGGAAAGAGGATCGACTCTGTGAGTGAAGCTGGCGTAAAGTAAGTAGAGGGAGTTACAAAAAAGGTCCCTCAACTATTTTATTTGTCAACCTTCTTTTTTTTGTTTCCGAACAAAATACTGTGCACTCTTCATCCTTTCATTTAGAAAAACTGCAAAAGGAAAAAACAAGTGAACAACCAACCTCGATCGATTTTCTTTAACTTAATTATCTGTTGTACATATGATAAGATATTAGATAGATATTGATGAGGGTAAACTATAAAATTGCTTTTTATGGTAATTATCTTAGGGAAGTTTTCTGATTTTAAATTTTTTTTTTTATTTTTATAAATATAATATATTTTCTAGTTAATAAAATAACAAGTTCAAGAAGGTTTTCATGTCATAATTAAAAATAAAATAAAATAAATAATAAATATTTACTTTTAAACATGTACATTTTTTATGAGATAAATGTTAAAAATGATAATATAGAAAGTAATTTTGAGAGACGTGAAAACTCACAACTTGTTAGGAGATAATATCAAATCCTGTATATGTATAGAGAGCTACGTGGCACTACGTGTCAAACTCAACCCCAACATCTTCGGCCACGTGTCACTCCCCTGCCAACCATCCTCATGCACATCTTCCCCCTTTAAATACCCCCTCCCCCTCCTTGAACCTTGATCATTCATTCTATTCCTATTCCTATTCCTCTAATGGAAATGGAGTCCACCACCCAGGAACTGAAACACAGAACCAAAGACCAACCTCCGATCACAGCTCCAGATAACGACGTTGTCACCAACACCAAGCCGACTCAGAAGCGGTCGCCGTTGCCGAAACGTGGCATACAGTCCCTGTGTGCAGGGATCGCGGTCCCTTTAGCTCTCACCTTAGCCAACATCGCCTTGTTCGGCTGGAGCCGTAGCTACCAGACCACCCACAAGCCTTTCTGGATCCCACCCTTGTGGGCTCTACATTTGACTTGTCTGTCTTCGGCTTTCGTCATGGCTTTATCGGCTTGGCTGGTGTGGGCTGAAGGCGGGTTTCATAAAACGCCAGCCGCAATGGGGTTGTACTTGGCTCAGCTGGGTCTCAGCCTGGCTTGGGACCCGATATTCTTCAAGATGGGTGCGGCGAAGGTGGGGTTATTAGTGTGTTTGGCTCAGATGGGGACTATGTTGTCCTGCTCTCGGATGTTCCGCCGGATAAACGAGACCGCCGGTGACTTGGTCAAGCTATGTTTCATTTGGGCCGGCTTTTTAACACTTGTAAACTTGTATTTTGTAGCTTAATTAATGGGATGTGTGTCATGTAAAATGTATGTATACGAGTTCATGTAAACACAAGTCTTTTTTTTTTTTTTTTTGGTGTATTGTTTGTTTTTATCTGGTAATTAACCCTTTTAGACAATAAATGTAGTGACCTTTTCTAATGCATACACCAAGTTAGTTAATCCATGGATTTCGATTAAAAAAAKTAAATAATCAATTACAAAAAATTAAGAGTATTGGCTTCGCCCGGGTTCGAACCGGAGACCTTCAGTGTGTTAGACTGACGTGATAACCAACTACACCACGAAACCTTRTTGTATACTTTGATAAGCATATTCTATTCATGTAATATTAGAACAATTGTTGATAACCAACTACACCATGAAACCTTGTTGTATGCTTTGATAAGCATATTCTATTCATGTATTATTAGAACAATTGTTATCCATATTAGTCATCCAATATGTATTTATATTAAGAAGATTAACCAATTTTCCAAGGCTATCCAACTTCACTTCAAATATCTACAACCTTAATTACAAACTATACATGTAATGTAACAACTCACGGGGAAAAAAATTCAAAATCATAAAACTAGACTTCACTTCCATGGATGATTCAAAATCTGAGACCATTAATTGATCCTACCACTAAACCAAGAATGCGCATGTACATCACAAGGCTTCAGTCTTCATAGTTGGACRGTTTAGGAACAGATGCCAAGTCCACCAAGTGACGCATTGTCGGTCTACCATGTGGACAATTCCATGGGGATCTTAGACCCATCAAATGTTCAACTATCTACAAACCAAAAAATATTTCAAAATTAGATCAAAACATATTTTCAAGCTGAAATATCAAAATCAAACCAACCCATAAAACCCACCCAAATGTAGGGTCAAGGGGCATCCAGAACCATACCTCAATAAGAGGTAAGATCCCCGGTTTGCAAATCAAATTTGATCATATACGTCGTCTCATTCCCTCTTAGTGTCTACTTACTAGTTCTTATATGCAAACAAATACACACTTTTTCAATTCAATCTGGTCTTGACTCACATGATGCTTGATCAACATGCAAAGTATATAATTATAACTTGGAAAACTGGCAGTAGATYTCCAATCCAATAGATTCTAAAATGGGGAAAATGGAAATTTTAGACAATTAACATTCCAACTTTCTCCAAAATAAGAACGCAGGAGAGAGGGTGCAAAAATATCCAAATTTAAAAGTCTCCAAAAATATTACCATGACAGAGACATTTTTTTATCATATTTCACCCTTAGAACATCTTAACATTAAATGTTTAGGCAGGAGAAAAAATAATATTTCACTAAATATATGAAATATTTTAATAATATAATGAATGTAATCTCCAAAATGAAGAAGCTATTGAAGTTRAATGCAATACTTTTKKGAGATCTTGAATTCTGATTCTTTCATTCTTTTAGATATTTTAAAGAATCTGTTGAGGATCGAATTCTCAATTTAGCCAAAGTTTACACAAATATCTTATATTGCATAAAATCTATTTTCAGATTTAAAAAAGAAAGAAAAATTAATCTTTATGCAAATAGGGATCTTTATGCAAATTTATTCTTTTCCTTTCTTCTCTATCTGAAAATAAAGTTTATTTGCAAACCATCTGCCTGAACTCTTGCTGAAATAAAAATATTTGATTGAAAAAATTGGCTGAAAAAGTGAAYTTTGTCGGGAAGATTGAATATTTTTGGTCCATTTCCCATCTTTTAAACCATAGAAGGGGTAAGAGGGAAGTACCTTTTGCATCTCGTTTCTTCCAAGTGGATCTCCAACCATTACGGATGATCTGCAGGCACGCGACGCTAGCATTGCACGTACTCTTGGGGGGCAGACTGAATCAGCAGTGTCCATCTTATAAGCACCCATCATCGAGCATTCTCCTTCGCCATCRGCCAGGATAGATATGAGTTCTTTCACGTCTGCAAAGTAGAATAAATAGTAGTTCATACTCGARTCTCAGATAAGAACAAAAAGGAAAAGAGAAGACAGATTCGGGAGTAGAGAGGCGGATCCGAACAAAATTCCAACCGCACAACAAAAYGAGCAACATAATATGAAATAAAACAAAATTGAATTACAAAAAGTACAAAAATAGCATATATGTGTCATCRGGTAAGGTTCAAGGAAGCAGGCTACCTGCAACGCCAAAAGTTATGTTCTTACTGAAGGGAACACCTTTTAATCTATAACGGCGACCAGGAGGAGCATCGACATCCTCTTCCAATGAAAACCCATTTTTCCTGGAAGTTGAAGAGAAGAATGCATATCAGCACCTACAATAAAAATGAAGTGACTCTTGAAGGGTCGTTACCAAATGTTTACTTTACCCCCACTTACCTTATCAATTAACATTCTAGACCATCAAAATGGCTTATTGGTAAGCATCTTAAACCCAGTAAGCGCTTACTGGGTAAGAGTCTTCTCCCTCACTTACCAGGTAAGACTCTTGGTCCTTGTTATGCCTCTTACTAAGATTCTTGGTCTTCAATCCGTAAGGTAAGTGATATCGGTAAGCACTTACCTTGGTAAACGGTCCCTTAAGCATTGATTTTACAGAACTTATAGAAATCAAAACATTTTGTAACTGAATACTAGAGAGCTTCTTCTAAGTGCTGCTAAAAAGGGAAATAAAAGCTTGAATAAACTGAAACTTCATCATTGCTGATGCTGCCTTCTCTTTCCATGTGATCTCGCTATATTGTAAACATGAAGAACAGCATGGATCATGGAGCGTTGTTCTCTCCTTTGGCAAAAACTAATCAATCAACCAACTTTTGGAAAATAGACTATCAAAAGATGAAATGAACCAACATTCCTCGCACCAGAAGCAATCTTTTAGAGGAAGGAAAAGTGGAATTATAAATGGAAAAAGTGGAAATATCTGGGAAGCGCACCTGATAATATCCATGTGCATCGAGACGGYTATTTCTTCTTGGGGAGATAATTCCAACAACAGTGGCCTTTTACATCACATCATGGAAAACAATTCAAAAGACAATTTTTATATAGAAATAAATGCAAGTAGGGACAGMCAGGGGTTAATAACATCAAGAAATCTCAGGAACTGCCGGCTAGGTGGAAAAGATGAAGCATGCAAAGTTAGAAACATGTGCCATAGATCTTCCATTGCAAATTGAAATGATACTCAGATGTGGAAGATATAAGCTTTTATACGTACATGAAAAACAGACGAACACCATATCAATAAAAACCTTTCCACATGCATCTGACTGAAGTCTTGTCATGCCTTGTTTTTYCCCACAGCACCATGCATTGTTTCGAAAAGGTATTTCTATTTTCAAAAAGCGGTATCCATAGATCTKACATCAATAAACTCCTTACCTCAACAAAGGTTGTTGGTTCAAGGTGGTGAATTGTGACAAACGCTCATAATTGTATTTCTCATCCGCAGCATGCTGACAGAAGAAAAAGGCATTGGACTGTCAACTACACAAAATGATATATACCCTACAAGCTAGAATACAAGGAGCATTCTTGAAAAAGGATTTGGTAATCATGCTGTAGGAATTAGGACCCTACAAAATACCAAAMCATGGAAAGGTAGTAAAGAAGCAAGACCTGATCCACGACAAAAAGGTCTTGATCCAACTTGCCAATGATAAATCCAAGATTGAATTGCCCGATAACCTAGAGAGAAAGGAAAGAACARAAACAAATAACTTMTCACATATTACAAAGAAGCAATCACACTCTCCAAAGTAAATGCATTTCATATTTCTGATAACAATCTTAAAATTTATAAAAGCAGAATTACAAAGGGGATGTCAAAGTCCATCTTATGCATTTAGAACCAATGAACCATAGTATGAATGTAGGTTGTACAGAAATTTAGTTATGAATAAAAAGATCAACATCTAGGTTGTACCATGTTAATTCAGATAAGAGTGGGAATGACCACATATATACCACTGCTAATTAGATTTGTAGCCACAACTGCTAACTCGAATAAAGGGTAAAGCTTATTGCATATATCAACAACCTTAAAGAAATTATCAATCGGAAATGTTACCTACAATGAAACATAATCTCTCCCCAAAAGGGACAGAATAACATGATGAAGACAAATAAACGAACACACCCACATAATTGCCTTAATTTTAGCTCTAATGATAGCATCTACACAAGCAGGAAGAATCAACAACCTTCATGCGGCCAAAATCTTCCTTCTTGAATAGCTTTTCCAATTCCATTGTTGCCGCAGATAAAGCTCTTGCCTTAGCATCCTCTTTTACTGCTTGAGAAAGCTCTAATGTTGCAGCAGCATAGCATCTGTATGTAAATAAAAAGATAACAGTCATAAAGCAGAACTCTGCAGTTCCTTACCACCAGAATAGAATTTAAAGTTTGAGACCCTTTAGTCTTCGATTTTCCAGGGGTATTTTTGCTAGCTTGTAATGCTGAAAGTTTTTGCTGCCTCCTCTTCTTTAATTCCTCAAAACTAAACTTCACGGTATAACACATCTTTGCATGAGAAGGCACTGGTGCATCTGAAGCTGGCTGAGRAGAATGTAGTGGACTAGACAGATTTAATACTTCTGGTGCCTCATTGATTTTTTTGGGAGATGAGGCATCAAGTACTGATTTTGCAACAGGTGCAGGTTTCTCTAATGTTATTTTGTTCTGCATAAGAAGCTAGAAATTATGAGATTAACAGCCAACCAGAAGTAACAAAGGGTATGCATTTGATTTTTATCATGTWCAAATTTTCTAATTACATGGTATATCAGTTCAATAATCAGGAGACATTTTTATAATAACTTCATGTGTAATTTTTTCACTATAAACTCATGAGACTGTTTCCAGCTACCTTGGTGAATCTTCTTGCTGAGAAAATTAGAAGGGAAAATATCCAAAACCTTATGTGTATATTAAAGAACTTAAAATGGAGAATTCAATAATAAGATCTTACCATAAGAATTTAAGTTGAACAAATTCAACCATMCAAACTTAATATGGCATACCTCTTCAAGTTGTCCTGAATTTTTTATGATTGTCGAAGGAATGACGTCTAAATCGTCATAGTGTTCATCCAACAGAGTACRATTGGAAGGCTTTGACTCATTCCTCTCAACTTCAGAGTCATCAACCATATGATTGTTCWGTGGAGATTTTGCATATTTAGAATGCAAATTAAAATTTTGATTAACTGATTGACGAAGGGTAGGTCCATTTCTAAGAACAGGGACCTCGGATAAAGTATTGCTGATGCTTTCATGCTTCCTCTTGTTCACAGTAACAAATGTTGTAAGCAGTGACTGAACAGCACCTGAAGAACACGGCGATTCTGTTCCTTCTGCAACGTTCTTCTGCATGGTTGAGTTGTATAATGGCGCCTGCCGATCGTTTGTAGCATTGCTACTTACAATTGTATGCTTCCTACTATAGCTCCCAGAAAAGGTATCAGCTTTCTTCATGCCATGAAATTTAAGTGTAAAGTCTCTCTTCGATAAACTGTAATCATCAACATCGATTAAATTAACAGCCGATGAGGATCTCAAGGTCTGTTCACCTTCATTCACAACACTGCTTATTTCAGTAAGTTGCTTCTCACCGTATGCTTCTCTTTTACTATCACTGCCATTTGGTGATGCTTGCTTTAGTGAAAACTGTGAAAAAGACTTATCATGATGAGAACACAACTTGGAGTTGTTTCCTTCCAGACTGAGCTCCTCAGAGCTCTGTACCGTGAAGCTAACATGTTCTGGGGAATAGATCTTCACTAAAGCTTCTCTTAAGGATTTCAGCAATGAGCCTTCATCGGAGAAAAAGATTTTTCTTTTGTCTGGGGTCACATTGACATCACACACCCTAGTCGGAACAACAAAATTCATGATTGCCATTGGATATTGCTTTGAATTTGCACATCTATACAACTCATTCACAAGCTTGCTTACTTTTGGCATGTCAACAGGTCGACCATTTACGAAAAAATATTGTCTGTCACCTAAATTTCGTCCACTACCATTGCCAGGCTTAGAAAGAAACCCTTCCACCTTCCAATCATCTGAWATACATAAATTCACAGGCTCTAAGCAGGTAAAAGTGCTCACGCCAAACACCGTAATGATATTATTTTTGAGGGAGCCACTTCCCTGTGTTTTAAGTACAACAGACGTTTTATTTCTTCCAGTTGTATTCGTACAAACCATTCGAACCCCTTTTGCAGTAAGAGCATAGGCCTGGATTGGTAATAATAACGATCATGAATATGAGGTAGAATTTGAACATGCCCTACCACAATYAAATATACAGATATAACCGACTAGACAAAACAGCATGATACATGCCTACAGATTTTCTAAAATTCAAAAATGCTGATGAAACAGAAGATGTTCTTCCCCTTTTTAGCATTGTACATACTGTCTGTCTGTCTGTCTAYTCTCTGATGCAAAATTAAATTCAAATTTTGCTAGAAAGTAGTTTCGACTTATACAACATTYAAACATCAATCCTCAAGATATTTTCAAGAACTCAAATGAGAGCACGCAACAATAAAAGACATTTCATGTTTCCTACTGAGGATAGGCAGGGTCCTCAAGATTCGGTAGCAACAAAACTGCAAAGTACTAGTGAGCAATCAAAATATGAKAGTAGAATAATGCCATATAGATTCAGAATGAAATTTTATGCAAGWAAAACTACATATTTGAATGGGGAACTGCAGGGAAACTTACATTCCTGGTCTGAATTTCCATGAGCACCATTTTGAGAATGGTGATAATTTCAGGAAATCGACAATGGTTGATCAAGGAAGGTAACATGTATTGTACAATTTACGGGTAAATTAAGAAAGATTTCCGATGCAGCTGCATGTGGTGAAAGCAACAAATGCACGTACACCAAGCTTATAGTAATAATAGGCCATAAGCCTAAGTTCAGGAATATACATATCATCATTCATCAATACTGCAAACAAAGACTTAACACAACAATGGCTCACATTCAGTAGAGTGATCAACTTTCCAAACTCCTTACGAATGTTGCGGTGGAACTCTTTGCTTCGCACGGGCAAGTTGGAGAACAACTTCTTCACAGTAACGGTGGTGCCAACTTGGCGTGCCGTCTTCTTCTCGTCGGTAAGCAAACCAGAATGGTCAAAAGTCAAGTGTGTCGCAACTTTCTCGCTCTTCGCTCTTGTTTCAACTGTTAAATCTCCTAAGTTACACAGAGAACTAAGAGCTTCCCCTCTGAASCCGAAAGTCGTCAACGATTGAAGATCAGGAAAATCCGTTAATTTCGACGTATGATGCTTAAGTGCTAGAACCTACAACAGATATTAAAAGCTCATACAAGAAGAAACTTCAGTCACGAAATCATCAATAAAGCTTATCGAACAACATACCTTGAAATTGTTTGGCGAAATGCCACAGCCATTGTCAATGACCTGAAACGATTCTTCGCCGTAATCTTTTAARACAACCTCAATGCTGGAGGCGCCGGCGTCCAAGCTGTTCTCGACCAGTTCCTTAACGGCGGAGGGGAGGTCCAAAATCACTTGGCCTGAGCAGATTCGGTGGACAGCGCTCTTGTTTATTGGTTTAATCGATGGAGAAGTYATGGCCGATCCATCGCCTTCCATTGAAACAACTGTTCGGGTTGATTGTTACACAATCATGAATTCAATCGATCACCGTACGGAAGGAAGAATTTCGAGGAGTTATTTTGATGTGAGATGAGAAAAAGAACCCTAGTTATTTGGATGTTTTRCCGCCAAGAAATAGAAAAACATCATTTAAATAGCCGTCGCAAAACATTRGAAACACATCAGGTTTCGTGGTGTAGTTGGTTATCACGTCAGTCTAACACACTGAAGGTCTCCGGTTCGAACCCGGGCGAAGCCAGTATTGTTTTTTTTTTTCTTGTAGCGATTCTTTTTTTATATAAATTTTACAGCCGTATAAGTTGCAACCCTGTAAATAATGTAACTTTCAATATAGAAGTTATCTTCATAAGCTTCCAAATGTGAACTCTTAATGAGGTTGTGTTGTGATTAATTATCTGGGTTTTTTAAATGAGTCAAGTCGAACCGACTTTGTTGTCGTGTAAGTAATGTTAACGTTATTGGTCGAAATATTTTTGTATTTAGAGTAAATTACGCCATTATCCTTGTCTTGTCTTTGGCCCTAGCTTCAGTTAAAGTCGATTATTAAGTGCACTAAATGGTAGTCGTCTCAGGGACATTTTATTCACTATGGCAATATTTTCTTAAACAATAAATGTGTACAAGTGTTTTAAAGTTTGTATACAAATTTTAAAGCATTTTAGAAAAATGAAACCCCCTCCCCTTCTCGCAGGACCATCRTCCCCTACCCACTCTTTCCTTACCCCGCCTACAACCTCCATCTCCACCCCCTTTCTCTGTCTCTAATGAATCCTTGWTTCTGCATATTCGCTTATGCTTTTGATGCCTAAACATCACATTGCGTCTTACTAATCTTTTCCGCCTATGTTAAAGGTTTCATTTGTCTTGTTYATATCTATTTGTTTATAGTTTTCTAACATGTCATTGACAGTCGATAATTCTTTCAGGTTCGGTTGCATAGTAGCCTTCATTTGCCTCTATCTCTCTTAACCCTTGGTTAAGCTTGTAGACGGAGAAAAGGAAAAGAGGTTATTTGAAATAGAGTGAATGTGTGTATGAGTGGAAAGAATAAAGTAGGTGTGAAGATAATACCGCTAAAAATGAGATAAAAGTAGCGCCGATGGGGGGGGAGGTCAACAAACATGAGGGGTCGCCATTTATGTCCCTCTCTTTAYGTGGATGTTGTAGGTGAAGGTGGAGATGGAGTTTGTCGTGTCGAAWAAGGGGAATCGAGAAGGGGGCAATGATGGCTAGACGAAACTGATAGCTTGTTGAAGAGTAAGGGGCGGCAATGGGGCCGAAGAATAGGAGATTGATTTGGTTTTTTTAAGACTTTGTACATTTGTACATATGATTTAATATGTTGTACACCAATCTTATTATAAAAAACAAAATGACCAAACTACCCTTGCGTGAAGGTATTTAACAGATGTTGCTAAAAGACATCATGGTTAGGGACGGTTAATGTCTGAGCARTAACTGTGGTTCTTTCCTCCTTTTTTTTTTGTAACATATTTAACTTTGTAGGTTTGTGGTGCTGGTATAATTACCAACTTATACTAAACAAAAAACTTGCTAGCCGATTAAAATGGTATACGGGTAAAATTGGTTGATACAGATATAAAAATGTCCATACAAATAACAAGTTCGATGGTACAGGAAAAAAAATATTTTATATATTTTTAAATATATGAAATCATATATGACAAATTCAACAAATGAACTTATATATATCACCAAATATGAGTATTAAGTTATGGAAGGCTACATGTTAGATAACACGAATATGATAAATCCAAAGCTTAGATTATAATCTGGAGCTTAAGGGGCCATTTGGTTCGCGAAATTCGAAGGAATTTGATGGAATTGGAATGACAAATTCATTTGTTTGGTTCATTTCTTGAAATAGATGAAATCCTTCAAATTYCATTGAATTCCACAAGTTAATGAATTCATCATTCCTGGCATAATGGAAAGAATTGAATTCCATCACCACCCACCACGATCATGCTACTATTGTTCATGATGCCCCACCCTTAGCCCACACCACTAATGTCGCTGCCACCCACCCTACCCCACCCTAACCACTATGCCACTACTGTTGTCATCACACCCACCCACCCTCCGGTCACTCACTATACATCTTTATTACGACTATGCTACTAACGTTACTGTCAAACCCCTAATCTAACCCCCACCACCACAACATTATTGTCGTCGTCACAACTGCCACTCACCCTATTGCAACCTACCCTAACCACCACTAGCCACTATGTCACTATTGTCGTCATCATACCCACCAACTCCCAATCACCTTGACCATCATCCCACCACTATCATCATCACAGCTGTCACTGATCCCCACCTCCCTGCCCATGCCGCCCTTAACCTAACCCTTCACCCTCACACTACTATTGTCGCCTTCACAACCGACATTCACCCGCACCCCACCCTACCCTACCCTACCCCAACCCACCACTAAACACCATGCCACTATTATTGTCGTCATACCTACCCACTCCCTGGCCCCAACCACCCGACTACTATCCCACCACTAGCATCATCACAACTACCACCCCCGCTACCTACCCATACCCACCCCATCGCCCTGCCTTGCCCCATCCTACCTTACCCTACTCTAACTCATCATTAACCACCAATTCCATCAAATTCAATTCTATGAACCAAACACCCCCTAATATTTATTGGAAATCTATGATCATAATTCATATAATGTGGTTTATTTCTTAATAAATTAATCTAAAAAATGATATAAAGAAACAAAATAACAATAATAAGAAATTATTTAGTAAAATGAAATTTGTTCATCCCTTTTGTACTTCGAAGTTTCAAGCGTCCCCAACATTCTCGTCTTCAAAGAGAGAAGATCTTGACATAATGGCTTCCTTCTTGCTGTAAATAAACTCTTGTTTTCTAACTACACATGATCATCGCTTCCCTCCTTCCTATAAACCAGCTAATTAGTAGATCTAGGGTTCACATGTATATGTGTATTTCAACCTACACTCTCTATCATTGAACCCGTTGACCAAATCAGCATCGCCATCTTCTTCACTTCTGATCGCAGGTTCCCTTTCCCCTCTCTAAACCCTAGAAAATGGTATGTATTCAATTGGATTTTCATTGTTTATAGCCACATGGTGTTTTGTATACGTATCGTCATTCATTCTTCAATCTAATTTTTTGTATCAGCTTCCTCTATCTCTATTAAAGACAGCACAAGGCCATCCCATGGTAACCCGTCTTTTCCCTCGTCATATGCTTCTGTTTAATCTCATCGAATTATTGGGATTTAATTCTTCCACTATTCGTTTGAATCCAAACGTCAGTCGTTTGAATTATTGAGTTGGAGTTAATAAGATGTTACCTTAAACTTCAAACTTATGTTATTTCACTTGTGAATTATGATAGCTGGTAGAACTGAAAAATGGGGAGACGTATAATGGACATTTGGTTAACTGTGATACGTGGATGAACATTCATCTTCGTGAAGTTATCTGTACCTCGAAGGTCTGTCCTTGTTAAATGCATATTTGTATCTTTCTACAATCTTGTTTTCTTTCTTTTACATCATAATTTCAGTCCTACTTTTGAATCTGATCATTCGTGTAGGACGGAGATAGGTTTTGGCGAATGCCCGAATGCTACATTCGTGGTAATACAATTAAGTATCTTAGAGTTCCAGATGAGGTAAGCTGTATGGCCTCTATTGTCATGTAAATTTTAATGCTATCCCTGGAAATATCTTTGTTTTTAACACATATTTTTTCCTATGCTATGTGGTAATTTAAAGGTTTAAGCTTTAGGCTCTTAACGAGAAACATTTCACAGTGAACACGATATAAATTACTTGTTTTGAAAGGTGAAATACCCGAGTTAAACCATTTTTAAAGAGTTTGCAAAGGAAAGATGGCAGTTATGGTTAGAGATGTGTTCTTTTATAATTTGTTGTGTCATAGATCTAAATGTATTTATGAAACCAGAATAAGAAATGCAAAAGGGATATAGATCTCATTGATGGCCTAATTGTTCAATGGAAGTTGCTATSAGCTGCTATCGGTGGAAGAAGCATGGTAGGCACGAAAAAGAAAATGGAAGAACCTTGTTTTCATAAATGTTAGATTTGTAAATGAGTGGTAACTGTTAAATCAAGTGATCATATATTACTCATATATTTTTGCATTTCGACCTCTTATTTGCTTTGTTGTGCCTATGCATGGACTTCATCTATCGTTGTGGATGTGATAATTACTAAATGAGACCTGTAAACTATTTTAGCAGTACCATCTGTGGCCTTTTACATTGTGATATAGCTTTCTCAAGAAGTTGTAGTTATCTGCAACTTGGTTACATTAGAAGACAACATATCATTATATATGTAGAAGTACCACAGATGTACAACTATAGATTTAGAAGGAAGGAATAGTAGAAAAACTGCTAGGCCCCTACTTATTTTCTTGCYTTTTTGCGCTGATCAGAGCTAGTAATMTACAAAATTATATATSTTAAACCAATTTTCATTTGCTTTTTATTTTTTATGTTTCATGTGAGTTGTCGTTCTCATCCTCTTGGAACATGAAACACAAGGAAACACAGACGCACACACACAAAGAAGAGACTGATCCAACCTATTTTTTGTGTTCTTCATTACCAGGTTATTGATAAGGTTCAAGAAGAGACCAAGAGTCGTTCAGGTATAGTTGACCCTTTCTTTAAATCTGTTCTATATGAGCATCAATATYTTTTGTTGTAATCATTTCAACTAGCGAACAAATGCCAAGCTCCCTTCCCTGCATTATGTTCAACATCTTGGAAGTTTTCCTCTTGGAGATCATGTTATACATGTTTTGCAGTGCCATCCTTRTTAGGGACTGTATTTGAGATTTCTATCGTCAATTTGGCATCTGTTTGCACCCATCTTGCAGTGTTGTACACCTAAGATCGTAATTTCCCTTTTTCTTGATATGTTCCAAAAAGAATAATGAATTCTCTGCTTTGGTTTCTTTGATTTCCCATACCAAGCTATACGTGGTTACTATTGCTATCTTTATTTACGTTGGTTGCAAATTTTCAGATAGGAAACCACCTGGCGTGGGTCGTGGGAGAGGAAGAGCTAGAGAGGATGGCACCAGTCGGCGACCTGCGCAAAACATAGATGGAGGTGGTAGAGGCATGGGTGGAGGACGGGGCAGGGGTGGTAGGACTGGTGGTAGCAGAGGTGCTATTTCTTAACAGATATTGTCATTCTTGATGACTTTATTCATGTTTGTTTTAATTGATGCTGAAAATGTTTTGGTTCTGATCACAGGGGGAGGCCGGGGACGGTGATAGAAAGCAGAGTTGCAAACAACTAATGGGGTGCGGCTAGTTCTGCCACTTTTTGAAGGCATATGGCTACCCTCAAAATGCAATGTAGTTGAAATTGGAACAATTATTTTAATTCTCTGCAAACTTTTTTTTTTCTTTTTCTTTCTTGGCATCAAAGCTTTGAATTCCAATGTGTGAACTACGACGATCCATAAAAACATTTTTCGATCATAATACCGTGTTTAATCAATTTTCCYGGTGGTTCTAGATAACGGGCTAAGCACTATTACAATAGTAGTAATGAGCAAAAGAAACCCTTTTGTAACACCTGTTGGTGATAAAGATTTATGCATCTTCAAACTCAATAGATGGCCTAATTAAATATCAATTTACAAGGCTTAAAATATATTTTGTAAAATTTCCTAATAATTTAAAATCCTGCAATCTTAGTTGAACTCCTTGATTGATTTTCTAAGAAGAAATTATTTATATGATACAAAATAATAATTTTGAAAGTGTAGCTCTTTTAGATTATAAACATTTAAAACTAAAAAACAAAAGTAAATTACACATACACTCAAAACAATAGGAGCATACCCGCKAACAAGCCAACTCAATTAAACCTAAATTGTCAAACCATTAGACATTAGTTAGGGGGGTTAAAATTGGATTGGTTTAACTCAACCCGAACTTACTATTAATATATATTATTTCGATAAAATATAATATTATATATATATATAGTTTGTTTCAAATACAACTCATCGTATTTGTACAACCAATGCAACTCAGTAAATTGAGATATTTATGTAAATGATGAGAGTTCATTTATTATGATTTGAATATTTATGGAAGATGAATATGGTTMATTAATTATGATCAATATTTTATATTAGAAAACAATCAAAACTTCTATGAAATTATATATTAATCAAATGAAATGGACGGTTAAGATTGAATTATATTAGTTGCACAAATATAAAAGATTGTATAATAACCAACCCCTTTCAATCTCTATATATATAATATTTACATGATTTAGTCATTGACAGGTAGTTAGTACTTAGTAGTATATGTTTTGGTCTTATTTACAGCCCAAAACTATTAGTCCATATACTATTGAGCCCAAAATTAATAGTTAATCCAACTAGGGCAACCAAACTCTTATGCGCCTACGATGGAGTATGGACGTCGTGAACGAGTACACCGAGGAAACGGCTATCTGGACCTGCTGCTGCCTCGACGACCT